TTGATCGCGTCTGTGAGGTAGACACGGAGTGGAGTAGTTTCTCGGTCTGCTCTCAGTTAGTTGTCCGCCGCTGGCGACGAGGATCCGTTTTAAGTTTTGGCGCCTCGTTCTTCCTGGAAGGCGTCGCTGTGCTTGGGGCCGTGAGGGGTCCCGAAGCGAGCGAGACAGAGTTTGCACCCCGCGCCGGCACGGGTTAATGCCTAAGTATGAATTCAATTACAGATGAAGCCCCTCACGAGGTTGAGGGCAAGCACAACCCCAATCTCTCTCCCTCTCCCTCTCCCTCTCTCTCGCTCTCTCTTTCTCTCTCAGCCGTCTCCTACATACCCTCGGCCCTCCTGCGAGGGCCTTGGCAGGCATCCCATCAACTTGTTTGTTAAGGGATGCAAGTGCTTTAGTGTAGTGGCCTCCCTTGTGAAAACTGACGCCGTCCCGCTCCGTCCCGCTCCTTCCCGCTCCTTCCCGCTCCCTCCCGCTCCCTCCCGAGTGGACCGACCGCACCGCACCCTGGTCCTGGTCCGCACCAGGCTTACGCGGGGAGGCACGCCGGCCCCACCAGTCCAGTCGGAGAGCGGACCAAAACCACCCCCGCTCACTGCCACATTTCGCCGAAATTTCGAAAACGAGGCGGGGCGTTTCCAAAACTGCAACGATTACGCGTACGAGTAGACTTCCTGGGCTTGAATGCGAACTATTTTATTGCGATTTTATTGTTTTCTTAAAACTTGCTTGAAAACAATGTGTTATTTTTGAGGGCAACGGCAAAGCTACAAAAACTCCCCAGAAAATGAGGAAATTTCCCACATTTTTTGAGGAGACTTCCGCAAAGCTCTGATTTTTTTCCCAAAATCATGAGCTGGTGCTGCGTAGATATGCTACCTTTACGGTGGGCGGACGGGCCAAACATCAAGCCGCCCCGTCGTACAGACAGACTGATGACGCCACTCTTTCTGCCCCTCTGCACGTCGCACATCGCTGCATGATACTACAAGCAACGACACATTTGGTACATCATTCTTACTAATTTCAGTTGTGTAAAAAGTGTTTTTTCAGTCACAAATGTATCATCTCTGCTAAAAAACGGACTCTGTTTTTTTCCCGCGTGGTGTGTAGTATAACAAGCCTTAGTTTGAATAAGTGCGTGTCAGCTCGCCTCCTCGGTGGGGTCCAGGAGGAGGAGGAGGGAGAGGAGCGAGAAGAAGGAGGGGGAGGGGCGGCCTCTGGAGGTGATCTCCCGGTCCGGCGCGACACACGAGGCCCGGGCCGCGGCGTGACGGGGACGGAGTGTCGTGGGCCGGAGGTAAACAGGCACACTCCGTGTCGCTCGGGCCTAAACGACGCCGACGGGGAGGTGGGTGTGGGTAGAGGAGAGAGGCTGAGGCTGCCGCTCGGTGAGTGGATGGGTTGCGAGGCATCGGGAGGGAGAGCTCCACTCACTCTCTCCACCGCCGCCACTCGGCGCGCCGCCGCTGCTGCCTGATGGATTGGGCCAATCATGCCCGACCCCACTAACTGCATTGTGCTCCTCTTAACTATTGTTATGAACTCCGTTCCTTCCAAACTCTGTGTTCCCTCACTTGTACACTCTCTCTCTCTCACACACTCTCTCTCTCTCCATCCCTCTCCGCCCCCTCCCCCTCCCCACCTAAGTTAGACAAGAGTTCACCTGGCGGGACGCGAAGGCGTCCGACTCTCGCCGCCGCTGAGGTCGAGTCTCTTCCATGTCTTCCATTAGTCAGACCAAACTTTTCTCCCCCTCCCGATCGCCGCTGCAGCCTCCGCGTCTGCTGGACCAGAACCGGACAGCCTCTGCTACTAGGCTACTACTCCCACTTCATCTGCTCTGCTCTGGAAATTGATATGGTGATAAGTCCTCTCGCTCGTGCACTCCCTTCTCTCTCTCTCTCTCTCTCTCGCTCTCCCTCACTCTTGCACAAAAGAGCGACTACCAGCGCGCTGGTTTTACTTTTTGTGCCAGACGCCGCCCGCCCGCTGCCCGTTGTGTTTCTTTCACCGGCCGCCCCGGGCGCGGCCGCCTGACAGGTAGGCACACCCGCGGCACACGGCTGCGCGCCGGAGCGTGCGCTGCCTACCCGCCGGGCGCCCTAAAAGTACACGAATTCGCCTGCTCCTTTGACGCCGGTATTTTGTTTTTAAATTATTACCTTTCTGTTTTGTTTTGAGCCGCTCGCCTGCCTTATTTTTCTGCCTCTCCCATACTGTTGTTGTTGCAGCCACGCGTTGCCGCTTACTTTTGGAATACTGTAATTTGCCGACATTTTTACTTGATCTTTTGAATTACGAAGCGCTATTCTTTCTTCTTAAAATTGACACTCTAAAGGAGGCTAGGTACAAATGCTGTATTTTATTTGTAACGGAGAGGTACAGATTTGTATTTAGTTTAGATGCCCAAAGACTCATCTGGCATACGTACAAAAATTGTCCCTAGCCATTTAGTGTGAAGTGTGAGATCATAAGAGCTCCTTTACTTTTGAACTGTGAAGACTGCTAGGTTGGCGGCGAAAGGAAAGACGTATACGCGACACCCGTTAGCGATGTTAAAATTATGGTCATTGCTGCTGATTGAGTCTGGTCGGCCTGCTGCGTGGGTATTTTATCGGGGAGAGGTGAAACGCCGGCTGCTGCTGCGGGGGTCGTTGTCTCTTTTCTCCTCCGCTCCACGGACGAGCACTCTCTCTCTCTCTCTCTCTGTTTGCTGCGGGGGCGCGCGGTTGGGCCCCCACGGACCGCCATCGGATGCTCCCCCCGCCCCCCTCCCTTTTCCCGTGGGACGAGGAGAGAGAGAAGAGAGAGAGAGAGAGATGGGAGAAAGAGAGGTGTAACTTGACCGCAGAGCAGCCGTTCTCGATGGAATGAGCGATAACAGAGCAAAAGCCAGGCTCGCCCCTCTGGGAACGGGGCGTGGCGGGGCGCGGGTGGGGCAGCTGCTGTGATGGTCCTCCGGCGGAGGTCCCCCAACGCCTTCCAAGAAGGGCCCTCATTCACTACTGTACGGCACCACGGAAGCTTCCGTTTATTAAAAGTAATGCGCGATTACTTAAAATTTATTCTTTTTGTTTGTGTGTTTTTCCTTGTTTTTGTTTCCGAGTACCTGCTCTTTACACTGGCCGTTCGCCGAGTGTTATTAGGTTTAGCCGGCCCGGCCCGGATGGGGCTTCTTTAATCTACTTCCATTCGGGGGCGCGGGGCCAGGAGAGAGAGAGAGAGAGAGAGAGAGAGGGGGGGGGGCATCCGAGGAAGGGGCTACTTTTCTCGCCCATTTCGCCGTATTACCCCCCGCCCCCACACCCGACTCTTTCGGGCCGTAAGGCTCTCTCACCACCATTCAGACGTCCATATCTCGCCCCGCCTCTCCGTGTCGGACGCGTCGTTAGCTTGTTAACCCCCATCCATCCCCCCCTTCACCCTGCCCTACCCTCACCCCCATCACTGGCGGCGTGGGTGAGTGGGAAACGTGTACTAAACTTCCCTCCACCGTGTTTCATCAGCCCTTATACGCCACACCGAGCCCCGTTATCGAAATCCCGCACAAGAAGGAAACCTCTCGAAGAAGTTTTCGAAAATTACTTGATATCCTTGATATGCAGTAGGCCGCATCATAATAGGCTGCGTGGAATTTTGCGTCCGTTCTCTATAACGAGCCCAGAGCCTTACGAAATACAGGGGTGAGGCGGGAAGGAAAAACAGCACAGGCGTTATTTCAGGGTCTCGCGTGAGCTCAGGTAAGTATACAGAGCCGCGGCTGGTCGCTAATCTCTGACCGTTATCCATCGACGTGCCTCTGTCCTTAACCCCCCCCCCCCCCCCCCCTGGTGATTACGAGATAAGCCCAGGAGGTGGGCGTCATGAGTTGCTTAAGACGACGTCACTGTGGGGCAGGCGGCGGCGGCGAAGCGGAAGGTCCTCTCTGGGGACTTCCGTTTGCGGCGGATGTGCGGCGGGCCTGCTCGTTTCTTTTTCTCTCTCGTCCCCCTTCGACTGGTGCCGCTATTGGGGTGAGGAGTGGGGGACGAGGGCGCTGCCGTTAATCATAATTAAGCAAGTGTAATCGTGCGGGGCGGCGCGCGGTTTTAAAACGACCCGCTGACGTGGGGGCGTCATGGGGAGAGAGAGGGGGGGGGGGGGATATAGGGGATGGCTTAGCCGCCGAGACAACCGTATAATAAAATATTCATTTTATTTGTGCGCGTCAGCCTCTTGGACGGGATTGAGAATTATGTGACGGGCTCCTCCGGGGGTTGCTGCTGCTGCTGCGTCGCGGTGGTGGCGTGGCTTAAGTGAGCGGGAGAGAGACGGCGAGGACGTTGGACCCCCTTCTCTCTAGTCTGCCCCCCCCCCTCCCCCTCTCTGTCTCTCTCTCTCTCTCTCTC